AATACCCACCATTCATTTCAAATTCCCTATATGAAAATCACTACAATATGACCAGGGTGCCAGTCACTGCTGATGCTTCTTCTCTCACGTTCCGACTGCAGCCATCACCAGAAGCTATTTTAACTTGCCTGGCAGAAGCACCAACTGTGGTTCTATCAAAGCCAAGGAGACAGATTGGGCAGGGGAATTCTGTATATGGAATGGTAGATACTGAGGTTTGGACAATGTCAGATGCAGAGATCATCAGTGTGCATGATTTCCTTTATGTATTCTTTTGCATTCTACATGTCTTTAGATATACTTTATAATGGTGCTAATACATGTTATTAGGTGCATGTAAAGGAAAATGGACATCTCCTACATATGATCACTATAATGCTTCTGTCAAAAGGATTGTGAATGGTAGTGTTAGGAGTATCATGTTTGTATTCACATGCAAGTATGGTAATCTTAGCCACTGGCCTGTTTAGAGAGCACGGATGAAAACTAATAATGGTACTGGTAACCTACTCTGTACAGCACAAGTCTGTGATTCACAGAGGAAAGTTTTCTCATCTATGACTGCTCCTGAACTGTCCATTCCATATTCTGAGGCAACTCATCAAGCTCTCATTGCCTTGAGATGTGCCAAGTCCAATCGACCATTCAATTCTGTGAAGGACAAGTACTATGGACTAGAGGTCAACATGCTTTGTCTAGGGACAGTAGTACCAGTTCCTAGCACAATTTTGAAGGACATCAAACATATCTATGAAGGTTTATCAGTTAATGTTTGTAACTACTTCAAGGTATGTTCTACTTTTTAATACTAATTAACCTTACATTTAATTATTACTTTGCATATTAGAATTGGGCTCAGAATGTACATCTTACTATTGATGGGTGGACTGCACCTATTGTTGCATCCTATCTTGGAGTGGTTGTTATTTGGACAGATGCTGGTCAAATTCATTGTACTGTTCTTGAGTTTATCCAGTAAGTCTCTCTTCCTTCCTTCTTTTATATTCTTTCTTGGTTTCTGTATGCACTTTGGTGGTGGACATAGTACTGGATTTGCTCTGATCTACAACAATGAGGCAATTTGGAAGGAGTTGTACTCAGGCTTCACTCAATAACATTGCAACAGAGTTGTCTGATGCTGGACAATCCAATCTATCCCTATCATTGCCTTCTGGCTCTAGCTCACCTACTGTTGAGTCCACTCCTCTCTCAAGCACACTAGACTTAACTGTTCCCCAGAGGATGAGAGTGCTAGTATGGAAAGACCCAGTTACTCTGTTATAGATGAGAGACCAGACATTCATTAGCATAATGTTGGTTGGACGGGTGTGATGGACAGGCTCAAATTGTTTCTGCACGTCCTACATGGAAAAATCCCATCTCACCAAGTGCCTGTACGTGCAGTCTTCTGATTCTATGAATCGATCTAACAGAGCCCATTTTCCTATACTATATCAGACTCCTATTGTAGCAAAAAACAGGTCCTGTCAAGCAATTCCGATGCACAAGCTGATATCAATCAAAGTTTTGCTTACTGTCACTGCTGATTGTAATAACTTCACTTATCTTGACACCACTCGTGTGTGCAATGTGGCAATGATCCGAGAAAAGATGTTTTTAAAGGTACAACCTGACAGTTATCTGTGTGTTCAATCCTTACTGAGATGTGTGCAGTCACAAATATCGGATGATCAGCAACCTTTTTCTCCACTTACTAGACTGAGATTGGGCGGTTTGTTATAGGCGAAACTCTGTCAAACGAGTGTCTCCAAGAAATCTGCAGAACAGAGGGTGATTCGAATGGTGCTGTGAAATTTTCAGTACTACACTCGTCTGCCACTGTTTATCTACTGCCACCTCAGCCGTTTTCCGTTGTTGCAAACCATGTTCCTCCCATTCTTCCCAACTACCAAGAGAGTGGCTTCAGGTTGCCAAGCCTGAGAGTGCAGACAACAAAGTCAAACCACAAAACAATGTCTTCAACAAGCAAGCCATTTGTTATTGATCGAATACTTGGAAGTGAGGGATCTGTTTCCAATGATCTTGAACAGCATGAGCAAGTTATTCATCCGGAATACAGTAGGATTGACAACACAACACTGCCTCCTTCTTTGCTGTCCACACTATGTGTAATGTATTTTGATGATATGACTTGCTTTTTCTTACTATGTTGCACATGTAGTATTGATAAACAGACTGCTAATACATTACATAGGTTAACTCAGGGTCATACTGGAGCATATCTAGCTCAGAAATTAGTAGAATGCTTACAGTGGTATGAGCTAGATAAGTATATAAGTTACATATTTTTATTTATTTATTATTACTTTAAACTGAAATGATAAAGCTACATGTTCTCTGTATGGATAATGCAGGGAACTGTAATACAACAGCTGTAGAGACAGCCAAGTTGATTCCAAGTTTTCATGGCATGAAATCTTGAACTAGATGCTTTAGACATGTACTAAACCTGATTGCAAAGGTATAGTCTTATTATTACATGTATTATCTATTTTTCTTACTATTATCTGTGTTAGGCTATTCTATCCTTGTTTTTTAAGCCACTCAGACAGAAGAGGGCAGTCAGGATTGGTGCTAGCCATCCTCAGAGTAATACTCTGATGCCTTGTTCTGAAGTAGTCATTGATGCTGGTGATGACCTTACTGCTGAGGAAGCTGAGCTTGCAGTTCTTCTTTCTGATAAAGAGAACTCAGCTGATAATGGTCAGATAGTTTATAATACTTCTGTAACATCTTCTGTTAGAGACTGTACTATTACAGAAATGCAAACCAAAGGAGTTACTGTTGGAATTGCTGAGATGAAGGAAGCTGAGCTTGTACTACCAAAAGTAAGTTATACTCTTAATAATGAAATCATACTTTCTAATAGTACTTAATATTTAAATAAGATAGCAGGTCTTGCTAAGAAAGTACATGACTCTTCTCCTCTCAAAGAAGAGTTTGATTGTCTTGTTGACACTGAGGCTGTTAACAAGAGTTCTCATATTTATGGTCAAAAGCATGCTCTTAATCATTGAGTTCCAACTTGGTGGAATTCTGATCTAGCTTGCCTTGATTCATATCTCTTCTTGTATCCAGTTGTTGAGAAGTTAACTGGACAGAGAGGATTGAAGCTACAGTACTTCATCCTCAATAATTCTCAGCTTGTTCTTGCTAGGGAATTACATGAAGTTCTTCTAGTAAGTTTTTATTAATTTATTTTCTATTAGACTAATAAAACTACATAGATACTTGAGGAACTGACTTTGCTCTTCTCTAAAGCAGAAGTCCCTGTTGTTTCAGATGTCATTCCTATGATGTTTGATATTCAGGAGGCTCTTAAGGCTGCTAGTGGAAGATGCA